TGGTGATCAGGAACAGGTGTACACACAAGAATATAACTGAAATAATTATGCTTTGTGAAAGAACTTTAACAATGCAGTCATTCCCCTCCCCCCCACAATGTATTTACTTAAAAAATCAAATACTAGTCCTAACCCATCAATTTCTCTTCACTGGAAATCTGAAAAACATTTTACTATTGTTTAGAAGTCCATATCACCAGCAGATTATCCAGGTATTTATACCACTAAAACCAGATTCCTTTTTGGGATGTGTCTTAGTCCATTAAAGCTGCTATAACAAAACGTAGGCTAGGTAACTTATAAACAACAGAAGTTCCTTGCTCACAGTTCTGGAGGCTGGTAAGTCCAAGTTCAAGATACCAGCATGGTCACTTTCTGGTGAGGGTCAGCTTCCAACTAGTTCTCAGCTAGTTTCACTTGGTAGAAGGGGCTGGGGAGCTCTATTCAGGCTCTTTTATAAGGGTACTAATACCATTCACGAGGGTTCCACTCTCATGACCTAATACCCTACACCAAAGTCTCCATCTGCTATACCATCACATTTGGAGGTGAGGAGTCCAACATATGAACTCCTGATCATAGCAGCATGCTTCTACTGCTTTTAAAAACATCTCTGTTATTATCTAAGAAACTTGAGAACTGAGGAAGTTAAACTCTTGAAGTTGATTATTTAGTGCTTACTTTGTAATATACCATCTTTAACCTCTGTTCAATTCTTTCCCAGGCTGAGGTGGAAACCGCCATTGGCCTTGCGAAGTGCTGTATGAATTCTCTCTGCCACAGCTCTTGGCCTGCTAAGGGTCTCTTCCTGAAAGGCAAGTCTTTTTTTAAAAAAAATTTATCTTTAACATTCTAAAAAGTGAGAAAATTATAAAATATGGGTAAAGCTATGTTTAATTGGTCACTTAAGTAATTTATCACCAAAAGCATTCCTTCTCTCTCAGGCATGGAGACTACTCCCAGTTGTCTTCCTGTTAATCCTCCACAGCGTTTTGGCCTGATGCCTAGGGAAGTTTCTCAAAGCTGTTTCCACAGAGGCTGTGGGGGATATATTGTTCAAATGCACCACCAGTCTCACTGTCCCTACTTCTTTCCCAGGTGGCAGCAGGTTGAGCTTATGTCGCCATTCATCATCATTATTAACACATTTATATGTGAGCATATGTATAGTTCTGTGGGGATTTTACATAAATATGGAAAATATGGAACAGTGTGGTTCATACCCTTGAGGACGGTAAAATAAAATTAAATTAGAGTCAGTCACCATATGCAATGCTTAATCATGTCATGTGGTGACCATTTGCTGACACTGCTATGCCATATTTCCACAACATTAGTGTTTTCAAATGGCTAAATCAACTCCTGCCAAGATATGCAAAAACAACTAAATGAGGAGTGTTTTCCAAAAATGTTTTCCTATTTCTGCTACCAGATTCACCTAACAGAAATAACTCTGAGTAAGTGCTCCTTGCCTACTGTGGAAAATGCTTTATTTGGTGGCAGTGTTGAAACATCCAACGTGAATTATAGCCTCTTATGACGGTAGAGTCAAGGAATCTGAGTTCCTTTTCAAAACCAATGGAAAAATTGCTACCTACACTTGGTATTCTTTCTTTGTAAAAACAAATGACAATGCATTCTCTTTCAAGGTAGTTCAGATATTTCTCAGCTAGCAAAGTGGTTTAATCCTCCACTTTAACTGCTTAGGTAAAAGAATTCTTTTGCATCTCAAAGAAACCTTTGTGACAATATTTTTCATAAACAACATCCTACCTCTATTGTTAGTATTTCAAACTAGTGTTTGGGAAGAGAGAGACCATGGCATTTTAACTGTAAAAATTAATATTTCTTTACCAAAATATTAAAATCATGTACCCAAAGCTGAAGTGTTTGGTGTTTTAAAATTTTATGTTATATAGAGAGAATATTTTCCATTCATGAAGCTATTCTTGGTAGATTTTTTTCAAGTCAAACTTCAGTATGATCAGACTTTCTGCACTGGAAATGTTCTTGAACCAGTAATTTCAAGTCTCATAGTAGAAAATTTTCTGTTGAATAATTATTCTGTTATCACAGAATTTTATAAGGTATAGATGTTGAAATTTACCCTCTATAGATGTTGTCATTTTATTGGCCTTATTGAAAAATATGTATAATTGCTTATATTTGAACACATTGGGTTTGTGAAAATTAGGCAAGCAATGGAACCCTACTGAACCATTCATATTAAAATACATTTAAATAGGAACATGTATGGATACATAAACATATAAAAAAAACCAAAAAAAAAAACAACAAAATCAACGAAACCCAAACAAAGAAGCAAAGGTTAAAAATTCAAATTTTTTTTTCCCCTAAATTTTTTGAATCTTAAAATATGTAAAAAGTAGGAAGTTCTCAGACTCAGTATTTACCAATGATTTTCAGAGAAGGTGAAACAGAGTTATGAAGAATCCAAGTGATAGGATTTTCTTTAAGCAGAAGCTAGAGTTACATGGATAGATATATTAGTAGCATTTGTATGATAGCTTACTATTGACTAGATCTCTTCATTATATTCCTGAGACTCATGTACTTAAAAACAATAGAAATAACAGCAATAGCATCTGCTTACCAGTGGACAGATCAATCCTGGAGCACAAGACTTTAATTATGCATGAGGCAAAAAAAAAATGACTTTGGGTTATTAGTATTCCAATAAAATTTCCACAGCTAAAAGCAGGAGAAATTCACAAATTTTAATAATTTTGGAAAGGCCAATTTGGCTGATATCAATGTACATTTGAAGACTATTATGATTTCCTTTTCCTTTTTCTGTACTTGTTTAATTTTCCTGCACAAAGAAAAAGTAAACCAGCATGTAGTTAAGAGAGTGTGTATTCACATTCACACAATTTGTGTGTGCTTACAAATGTGTTTGATTACAACTGCTTCAATAGTATCCCAGATTTTCAAAAGTTTATTTTAACTTTGAAGACTAGACAAGGTCATACTGATTTTACAACATCCTACATGATTTAAGTATATATTACAAAGAAAAAACCCAACATTAGAATATTACACAGCTTGAAAGTTTGCAAAGGTTATTTGTATCTTACTTATTTCTGTACTTACTGACACATCAGACGCCAGCAATGATATTTCATATTTTGTTGATTAGCAAAGATGCAATCATTAGTACCCTAAGTCTTCAAAATTCACATAAACCTTTATGAAGCCATTCAGAAAGAGAAAGTCAACCCTAAAACTAGAATTAGTGATTATGATAAATGCTTTTAATAAGACAGATATACTGGAAATGTTTAAAATTATAATTTCATAGATTATAAAATTAGCATGTTATAGTTACATGGTGAAGGCTAGGTGATTCTTCTGTGCCTTGTGCTTATGAGGTTTTACTTGCTTTACTGTGAATTTAAACAGAATAAATCTGCTTCACTTTAATGTCATTGATAGAAATTACACAAAAGCTATATGCTACCTCACAATACATTTCTACAGGGAATCCCTTTATTGTCATTAATCTGGGGCATCATGGGTTAAAGAGATATTCCATGTTGATGAAAAGCATATACAGAAGAGAGAAACTGCATAACCTACAAGGGAGACAGTAAATCTTTAGAAATAAGGGCCATTGGCTACAGAGTAAATGTGTGTATATCTTTGAACCAAAGTATTTATTTGTGATATGATCTTACAATTTAGTAAATTAAATATAGTTACATTCCTAATTTAAAGCTATCTTAAGAGGATGTTATTGATGACATGGCAGCTTTTTTTTTTCATATGCTAAAAACTGATCACCATTTCAGATGCTTCAAATTAACAATTTTATAATAAGAGTCTGAAGTAGAAAGCATGTAGGCATAGGACAAATATGTGGCCAGCCAGTCCTAATTTTGCTCTTACAAAAATGCCATTATGATTGACTTTCTCTTTATAAATCTTCACTATGATTGAAGACCACTCCATATATATACATCATCAAGAAATGCTGTTAACACATGGACAGACAAGACAGTAACAGTCTAGTGGCTTTTGTTATGCAGCACAAATAATAAGGGAAAAAAAAAAAACCAATGTTGCACAGGACCTCAAAGCTTTGTACACATACCATACTTTCTTTTCTAGAACCCTTAATTTAAAACTTCAATAATTCTGTGTCTAAGCCTTAATAAAACAAACACTGGTAAAGCTTATAAATAAGATGCTGAGGACTTTTATGGAGGCAGTGAGAAATTTAATTTGAGAGAATGTCAATGAAACCTCCATTATCAATAATAAATCGTTATGATAATTGCTTATTTTTTTCAGGACCTTTGAAGCAAAATAAATAGAAATCAATTTTTACCTTGAAAATGGTTGACTACTTTGCCATTAGTAAATACTTTTCTTCTCACAAGTATCTACACACTGTGCTTTCCTGAGAAACCATCACCAGTTTCAAATCTCAATAAAATTCTAGTTTCACAGGAAATGCAGAGATGAACAAAGACATGATGAGTATGCCTGGCCAAGTTATGCAGTACTATGTCAATATTTGTTTGCTAAAAATTTTTTTAAATAGACAAATAATTATTCTATTATTTTAAAGTGAAGATAAGACTATCTGTAAATACCATCAAAACAAAGATTTAAATTTTGCTTTAAAGAAACATAATGGGATTTTGTTGTTTATTTTGCAAGATGGTAGTACTGGGGTCTTTAATTAAGGAAATATTTGAAGATTACATAGTTATAGCTTCCTTCAAAAACAAACGAATTGCAGATTTAATCTACTGATATTAAATATGCTCAATCTACTGATACTCAATCCTGTTTCACATGTATATGTGTGTGTGTGTGTGTATATGTGCATATATGTATATACACAAACATACTTTTTTAGACAAATAATAGGACAAAAGTCAACTGGGAAAAATATGAACTTATTCAGGCAGTATATAATATATAGACTATAGAATAGCACAGAAAGTAAGATCATATAATCTCTGATTAAAGTCAAATGAAAATTATCAATTAGTACTGCATGTTACAGATTCATCTTCAAAATTCGATTACAAACACTGACAGTGTTTGGTAGGCACCAGGAAATAATTAGGATAATATAGACTCATTACAGAAGGACAAAACTTATTGCTAACATTGCAGTATTCTTTTTATAAGTTCAGTATTGATCATGAAAGCTCTGACAACTCTTGCTTTTATTTGATAACTATAAGATTGTTTTACCCTTGCTATCAAGAGTGCTACTTTCTTTGCCTAATACATTTCAACCAGTATGAATAAGAAAACAATGAAAAAACTAATTCACAGTTAATGTGATGTTGCTTAAGGAATTTAAACGATAAAAATCAAATTAAACCATTGAAAAGGCAGGCTTAGACCTCCTTAAGAAGACAGTTAGTGGCCTACCGTAATTTGAGCACTTTTCATGAAAAATCCTGTTCAGTTTCCTATAGATTTTGCAGAGTTCATTCCATGGAGATACTTAAGGAAAATAGAGAGCAGGCCTGTGATATCTCTTCACTCTTCCTCTGTGCAGCCCAGCAGTTCCGACCTCAGTGTGATCCTCCCATACCAGGACCAAGGAAGGATCCTTATGTGCCGTGCATAGATGGGAGGATCAATGACGTTTTTCCTGTGAGTATCATTGTCAAAATTCCCCTGGAAAACCTAGTAAAGAAGAATAGACTATTAATCATTTGGCCTTCCTTTTTTTGGGAATTATTTTTATTATTTTCTTGTTTCGATCTTTTCTTCCCCCCACGTGTGAGGCCTGATAACCATGTTTTTTAAAACACACTGCTGCTGCTTTCTTAATGATAATTTTAAAATTATCATTTTAATGGTATCATTTGAATGGGAGATGAATGAGCTTCCCAGGTGATGCTAGTGGTAAAGAACCTGCCTGCCAATGCAGAAGTCAGAGATGCAGGTTTGACCCCTGGGTGGGGAAGATCCCCTGGAGGAGGGCACAGCAACCCACTCCAGTCTTCTTGCCTGGAGAATTCCATGGACAGAGGAACCTAGAGGGTTACAGTCCATAGGGCTGCGAAGAGTCAGACATGACTGAAGCAACCTGCATGCAACACGGGCAATGAGTATGTAAAGAGTTAAATAAGTTGAAAATTGGTTTTCTGAAGCAGGAATACATAGATTTATCATTTTTCTATGTTTTAAAAAGATCTTTCTTTTTATGCAACAGATATTTATTTTTTGCTTCTGGCACAGGCTGTTGGTCAGGCAGCTTGCTGAAGGTGGTCTCTTTGAAAGAGTGATTCAGAGATGCAGGCTGCTGCAAATTTTAGCTAGCATCTGAAAAAAAGCAGCATTCACATTCACGATGGGAAACAGGAAAAAGCTGTGAGATTATGCAAGTTGTTTTAAAAAACCAAGGTATGGAAGCAGCTTAACTAATTTCTGGATACACTGCATTGACCTTAACTAATTATATGACCTCAGCCAAATTGCAAAGGGTGTTGGGAAATGGAGAGGAGGAGCACGTGGATATCTGGTGCACATGATGGTCTCTATCACAGTGGTATTTGTTCATTTCTCACCTAGAGAACAAAATCAACCCAGCATCAAGAGAGAGAACTCCAATCAATGCTATTTTTAAAATACTTGTTTTTGGTTTGCCTTCTGTATTAATTCCTAGATCCATACAATACTCTTGAGATCATTGTGACCTATAGTGTCCTGACACAGGGCATTGCATGACTTTGTTCATCATTCTTTTGTTTCAAAGATTTTTGAACTTTGTATGTCTATTTTTCTCCCAGAAGGCTTTTATAACAGTAAACTTTGAGATGTGCTTGCTTCAGAAAGAAACAAAACAAAATTAGCAGCTGGTTGGTAGAGCATGGAGTAGTGGGACGTGGCATGAATAACTGAGTTTTTCACATGTGCTTACTTGTGCTGTGAGCACTTGGAAATGGAAAAGAAGTTACAATGGACACCACAGTAATACAACACGTCAGCTACAAACTGGCACTATCCAAGAGCATTGCCAACGACTGAACAGCAAGGGCATTTGCCATCTGCCCCTGTGGAGACTGAACCCTAATGCTGCTGCCCTTCAACACCCGCTGAGGGAGTTCAGGGAGGCACCCTGTGCTCCAGGGAATCTGGTGGGACAGGTCTTTGGACAGTCAGATATTTTCAGGAATAGATTTTGTGACCCCAATCCTGGCACCTCCTCATATCTAGAAAAGCACGAAATCCCTTCATGATGACATCAGATCCTCCTGACTAGCAGAAAACCTTTTGTAAACTGACTGTTTAATGGTACTGAACTCCCCCTTCACCACAAACTTAGACGTTGGCCTCCCCTCACTGCGTCTTCAGGGCAGTCTCAACTCCCCCTTCACCACAAACTTAGACGTTGGCCTTCCCTCACTGGGTCTTCAGGGCAGTCTCTCAGAAATCTCTGAGACGTTGCATCCCAGGCTGCAGGCCTCTTTTTGCCCCAAAGAAAGCTTAACTTGCAACTCTCAAGTTGTGCATCCTTTTTAGTTGGCAGTTATGGCAGCTGATGAAGTGACCCAGAGTGGACTCCCTTCCTTCGCCTGAACTCCACAAGGAACCGGAGCTTTGGTACCAGCAATGGCACCCTGCGCCCATCTACCTCCTCGGGGAATGCAGATGAATTTGGGTAAGTCTCTTTGGTTCTCGAATCTCCTGTATTGGTTGAGATTCTGAGTTTTATTTGGTGGTGGAGCAGGTTACCTGCCCCCTGCCAGTTGGAAAGATACTGGGGGTGGGGGCTGGATTGAAAAAAAAATTGAGAAAAACCTGGGTCTTGGCTGAAAGATGCCGAGGTCTCTCCATTGTAGGGGACTGAATGGTTTTGTTGAGTGGTTAGGTAAGAGGCTGATCTGACACTTTTCCTCAAATAAACTACCTTTACAGAATTTGTCAGGATAAAAGGAGAATATACGAGAGCTTCGCTCTGAAGAGTGACAATACTCCTTCTGGCAGGTTCCGGTGTTCTCAGGTGACTAAGAAATTTATCGGAGCGGTGGCTACCTAGTCCTCATCCCATGCAGTGGTCCCACAGGGCGATCCACTCATTAATTAAAATACTTGCTCACCCCAGGGTCGCACATAAGAACTGGCCGTGCAGTGACCTGAGAAGCCACGGTGGTCTTAGATTGCCAGAGGCAGAATCTGAGCCACGTAAGATGGGCTGAAGTGACTCTGGGGTGACGCCTGAAGGAGTTAAGCTCACAAGCAGCACACAGGCCCACTACACAATTTCCCTGGTGATTTTTATCTCTGACAAACTCAACTTAATATGGGAAACAACTCTCTCCAAAACAGACTACAGGGGCATCAGAAAGCCCACCTCTGACTAACACTCCAGCCAGATTCAACTCACAAGTGCCTACTTAATTGCAGAAATTATACTAAAAGAGATCTTAACCTAAAATGGCCAAAATGGGGCTCTTTTGATATTCCACAATTGATATTTTTCATGCACAATTAGAAAAGGCCAGCCATGCTTCCTTTTATTGGTTATCCAGAAGTTTCTAAAAGAGGAAACTATTAGAGTAACTTCTTTGTAGGAAACAAACAAGAAATTGCTTGAAACTATATCAGAGCTAAAAAATGGCTGCTAGCACTGACTCTGCCAAGTTGCAGGTCTAGTGGGACTGGGAAGTCACATTTGGCATTTATGCCATTTGACTTCTGGGCATCACTTTGCCTTCTGCTTTATTTAGAGTGTGACTCTAAAGGTTCTGGTTTGGTTTTGTTGGTTTGGTTTGAACATACAGACATCTGGTACAAACTGCTCAAGCTAATATGGGAAGACCTTCTTCTAAGGTTCTACACTCCACCTGAGTACCCCTTGGAAAAAATGTTTTAAATGACTTGTCAACCTATAGCTATGATCCAAGGACAGGAAAATGGCCTAAAAATATTAGATCTTTATTGACACAGGATAGGAAAATGGACTGAAGTTCCCTTATGTCCAGGACTTTCTGCTATAATCAACAGCCTGGATCTGATCAAATTAAGACTCCCACTTCCCCATAGGGACACTCCCTGCTGGGGCTAATCTGCCCTTGTTATCAGGGCCAATTTGAGCACTATCTATCTGAATCTTGGCTATAAAACTATGACCATGGAAAAATATGATTTTTGACAGTGTATTGAAGACTTCAGAGAAAGTTTGAAGAAAAAAAAAAATCTCTTTAAGAATTCTTGCCCTGAGGAATTAACTCTTCTTATGCCTTGACCAGAGCTCTCTGGATCACTTATCTAGTAGTGCAGTCAGGTTAGTTGCTCAGTCGTGTCCGACTCTTTACCTGCCAGGCTTCTAGGTCCATGGAATTCTCCAGGCAAGAATACTGGAGTGGGTTGCCATTTCCTCCTCCAGAGGATCTTCCCGACCCAGGGATCCCATATTGCAGACAGATTCTTTATCACCTGAGCCACTTGGGAAGCCCTTATCTTATTTAAACAATCTCTAATTCTTGAAACCAAAAGAAAAAAAAGGGATCAAAGCCTTTAAAAAATCTTCTTATTACAACTGTTGTTAACAACTAGTGAGTTTTGTATTGTGATATCTGATTTATAACTAAGCTTGGAAAGCAAAGCTATGAGATCTCTTTTCTGTCTATTTGGACATATGTCTGCCTATAGTCTCAGTGTGTGTCTTTGTTTTTAGATAAGATTGCTGAGATTGGTTTGTAAATGAGCTCTCATTGGCCTAAATAAAGTAAGCACTTACAAATCAAACAATTCTAAATATAATAGAAATTAAACCTAAATGAATTTTAGGTTCATGTGAATTGGGAAATATTCAGTATTAAATACTTGGTATTATTGTTTGTTGACCTAATATAGACATTTCTGAGTCATCAACATGAAGCATAATATTTTCATTGTGCCTAGGTTTAATATAAGTTAAATATTATTATATCTGTTACAAGTTTGTCAGCAAGGAAAGTACCTTGAGTGAGGAAACTTCTAAAAATAATGTAAATGATATTTGAGCTTTTAGATAAACTCTATTAAGAACAATTATGCTTTAGGAATGTCTGTCTAAAATAGTTTCTCCAGATTGAGGTAACTTGACTTTATAAGGGTTGTGCTAAACTAAGTGTTGGAAGTCTATTGAATAGCTAGATCATTTCAAATAAGATAAGATTTTGAAATATTTATTACTGAACACTAATTTCCTCTTGCAGAGAAACTAAGGAGATTTTGGACTCTTAATGAATAATGTTTGGTGCCATCCTAAGATGTTCTCTATAAGAAAGCAAATGTTTTTAGAAATTATCACTGGTATTTATGCTTACCAATCTATAGAATGCTAATATAAAGGTCAGTTCTTCATTGCTTAAGGAAAGTGGGATGTGTAGTTTTCAGCAAAGAAGGTATGAGGAATGGAACTGCATTTTATGAGGGAAAAGGAAGTAGGTCTGATTTCCAGGTGGCTGTTTCAGAATGGGAGAAGAGAGTAACTGATACAGAAAGTGATAAAATGGTTTGTGGAAAGTGGACCCTGAGAAAAGAGTTTTGTTTGTGCATGGTTAGGACTAAGTTTGGGCTTTCCTCATACCTCAGTCAGTAAAGAACCTGCCTGCAATGCAGGAGACTTGGGTTCAATTCCTGGGTCAGGGAGATCCCCTGGAGAAAGAAATAGCAACCCACTCCAGATTCTT